AAAATCATTCCATTGTAAAATACATTTTACTGTTACGTAAGAACTATGTATATAATGTATATATTTTTATAATATAACAAGAGTAGGTTTATCAGAATTTAAAATAAGCGTTGTAACTCTTACCTTGTACCAGGTTACAGTCGGTTTGGGAATTCCAGATGCTTCGCATAGTATTATCATCTTTTCGGGTATATTAATTTCCAATTCATCTTTCATATTGGTCTGGCGTATTCTAGGAGGTATTGGATCTAAAAGGTTTATTCGTTTAAAGATTATGAATGGGAATCGTCAGTAGAATATCCGTTTCTTACCACTAATATAAAAAGATATATTCTTGTATAAATACTCTCCATCCTGTCCAATTACTCTGCAAACATATAGGCCGTTATCGGAAAAATTGGCTTGAGGAATTTCCAAATTGATCTTATTTGAAAATTCCGTGTAACTCTTCGAAATTTTATATCCTACGAAAATTTAATTAGTGCTTGTATACATTTCTGAAGCGTACTGTACATACTATCACCCTCCGTCAAGGTTTGTTCGTTACGTAACCATTCAATGCCACTGTAGTTGTAGATTGAGGCACCACAAGTTACAGTAATCGTTTCTCCACGCGCAACAACGGCCACCATTTTTTCCTCATCTAAGTCTACTGTACTTTCCAAACCGAATATATCGAAGCCGTTTTTGATATCTATTAAAGTGGAAATAATCAAAATTGAACACATTCGAACTACAAATCGTTTCGTACTAATCCTACCTGATACAAAAATTCCAGATATTGCTTCGTCGTATCCTTTGTAGTTACTAGCAGAACACTTAATGCTTCCAGACTGCGAGGCATTAATGGTGACTTGCGAGATGAACTCGAAACTTTTAGTTTTCAGGACAGTTGCATTCACCTAAAAAATTAATTTACGTATTTGTACGATTCCAGGACTCAAGTTGGACTCTCAATGGAATCTCATGAAACGTTTTCCAACTTTTTATTTTTACTTCATCGGTTTCCACGAATGTAAAAAGGAAACATATTTTTATATTCTTACCGGTATGAAGTTGCACGTTTGGCACGGCTTATATTCCCATTTAAATTCAGGCTTGGGATTGGCGTACGCGAAACATTTTATTGTACTGGGTCTGTTAATCAGGTGAAACGGTCGACTCTCTATGTGGACTGAGGGACTATCTAAAACATTATGGTGAATAATTATGATTGAATGATAAAAAGAGTCGATTAACTATTCATAGTCGAAATAAAGTAATTTGAAAAGTCTTCTCCATCAATAACAAATCAAAACATTTCCCCCATCAGTATCGGAGGGGTTGGACGCCGCTACAGGCGAGAGAAAACTCGTCTGCTAGTTTGTTTTCGCCTACAAAGTGTGCGTGCATTTTGTTTTATAATAAATATTTAAAAGTTATCAGGGGTCACCTATGTACATAGAGTTGCCACCTCCATGAAAATGACCCGGAGACTCCGGGTTTCCACGAAGTATCTCCGGGCTCCGGGTTTCTTACGTTATTCTCCGGGTCAGCTTTGAAATTGAAATTTGCATTTATAAATTTATATAATTGTAAATCATATATAATAGTTTATTTGTTTGAATTCTGGCGCGTTTCTGTCTCTAGAGGGCAGAATCGGCACATATTGCAATCTAGAGATGTTAATTTAATGTTAAATTAAGTAATTAAAATCTATTTAATTAATTACGTCACGGAGATCGTATTCAACACAACTCAACCAATTGTGTTCAATTGTGTTTCTTCAAAAACACAATTCGGCATAAAAATCGCCTTCCTCAAATATTGCGCGCTGCTTTACCCCTCTCCCCCCCCCTCCCGCCCCGGACACCAATCTCCGGGTCAGCGGCAGGGGTATTCAACTTAAATAGGCCAAAACGAAACCCGTTTAAATTACTACCGATGTCAACGAGAGATGGCGTATATATTTGACCAGGCCTCTCAGTCGTTATAACAGAACTTTATTTTCCATTTACGATTGATTGATTTATTTTAGTGGTGCGCATAATCAGACGTTTTAAATTATAAAATTAGCAGGTTATGAGCGGTTTCAAAAATCAGATTATAATTGAAAGAAAACGCAGTGATGGCGATTTTTTGAAGACGTACGTTGGAAAAATAATGGAAAGGAACCTTCCTGTATTTGCAAGTAAATTATTCTAACAATTTGAATTATCAACATTCGGATGTTGCGATTATTTCAATAATCCGATTATTATTTAATTCAAATTGTTCCATCACTAATGTATTCATTCTTTTTGGTTCGGCGGGGGGGGGGGGGGGGGGGCCCGGCCCGCCAATTTCATTGGGGTGCCAAACTCATAAAATTTTTTGTATAAAACTGTATAAATTCAAGTTTTCAAACAATTTAACTTACTAAAGTTAAGTCTAAGTCCACAAACCAGTAGTCTAAAAGACTACTTGTGTGTGGCAAACACTTTAAAGTCAGCAGATGTTGTGGAGACGATTTTGTATCGACAAACAAGAAGGAAAATGTATTGTCAATATTTTTAGGGAGTATGTACGTTCTATTTATTATTATCTTTATGTCTAATAAATTTTTTTTACATATTTTATGCATCTTCAATTTATCTCGAAAACCTTAAAAGATTCATGTTGTCTTTTCTGTCTTTTATTTATACCTAAGAATTGGTGATATCTCAGATATTCTCGACGATTACTTGTTTATTAAACGAGAATAACTGAGATTATATCAAATCTTAGGTATGAAAAAAGAGTCTTTTAATGAGGATGTGGGATGGAGTGCATTTGAATTGGCCGCCATTGATATTAGTACCGATGTCAACGATAGATGGCGGAATACGTTTTGTCTCTAATACAGGGAGTTGCTGTTCTAGAGTAGGTTGTTCTATGTCTCCGGGTCAGCGGTCTCTCTAAGGTGGCAACTCTACACTTACAGTGCAGTGTGCACCAATAGTAGATCTGCCCTTGGCCGTGAACGCTTCGAGAAGTACAGTCTGTTATTGCTTGTTTGTGGGTATCTCATGTATCTCTCGGGGATAGCCGTTCTACCTCATATCAATTTCGTTGTGCGAAGTTAGCGGGCAAAGCTATCCTTAGTTTACTGTGGCTATTTTATTACTAAAAACATCCTTTTTTGAATACAGAAATACCACGGAGTTACGTAATAGGTCGGATTGAGAAACATAAAGTCAAAAATTACTTACGCTTGGAACAGCATGATACACTGCGTGTTGCAAGGGTAAAGTAAATTACGTAACTCTGAATTTACGAATATAAGTCGGGGTTAAATAAGTCGGGATATTATTCAGTGGCGCCTCGTGACTTTTTTTTTTTTGGGAGGCAAACATATTTTGTAAAAATTTTTGTTTCCTAAATTTTTGTGATGGTAATCATTGTTAGTAATATGCCGCATAGTTAGGAGAAGGACCTCTACTTGGTCAATAAAATATATTAAGTACATTTGTCTAACATAATGTACCTAATATATTTTATTGGTTCGGCAAAACTATCGGGAGGGTGTAGAGTTTCCGTCAAATTATTTTACAATTAAAAGATGCAGTGAAATAAAATACGGATTTTTGCCATAACTGCGTCAATTTAGATTTGACGGGCTGAATTGATCACTTTCATAATATTTTGTTTGCCTAAAAGATGTAATTTACATCACAATTAGTAACACAACTAATATGTTTCTGACTTTCTGAATGTGTCAACTGAACGAGATAAAGTTTTAAGATTTTATCAAATCCAGACTTTGTCCAAGCATCTTCTCCACGATTTAAAAATAATACACACGGCCAACACAATAATTTATTGAAAGTTAAAGAACCACCATTTGCATTTATCATAGCACGTATTAACAAAACTAAGAGCCTGCTTACCATGATTAAGTTTTACCTAGACCTGGCAGTGGTACTCTTAAATATTTAACAAATTATGTATCCTCATAAGACAGGCGACTAAATTTGTACTTTATATGATACTCAACAGCATCATTGCAGGTTCGAATATTTAATTGAGTGTCATGACAACTCGTATTGTAATTTTTATGAAACAAACTGCTATACCCGCCAGTTACCTCCATTATAATTTTGTATAATTAATTAAATAATACGTTAAAATAATGACTTACATAAGTAATAAGGAACACTTTCAATAATTAATACCCTTCTATACCACTCAAAACACTCAAAAAACCCGACAAGAATAACAGCACTTTCCAACAATAATTTCCAAAACACAGAACAATAAAATATAGTTTTTGTATGTTAGGTCGTTAGGTTCATGAAATCAAATGACTACCTTTCTGCACTGTCACATGTGAGAGGTGGGAGGTGGGCGTGTTTGCCTCCGCTATGCAGTTTTTTAAATGACCTTTAAGGGCGCTGGAGTTAAGGGTATAATTTGTTAGCAACTCAGGTAGTTGCGAGGCTTCGCGCTTCCCTATTCCTTATAAATACATATGTGAAAACATTGGCATCGGAGGCTTGCCACCACGGCGATAGATTAGACGCTGTGTCGTTTATGAGGGCTTTATGTATGTTGCAAATAATAATGCAGGAACTCCTTTGACATATGTTTATTAATATTCTTATTTCTATAAATTAATTTTTTATCCGATATATGAATTTTAAAATGAAAGATATTTAAAGTATTATAGGTAGTATATTAAATATTAATTTTATTAAATCAAATTAAAGTATAGTAGGTTTATAAAAAAAAAACTTATTTGTAATTTTCACAGGGAAGGCACTGCCTCCTCTGCCTCCCCTAACGAGCCGCCACTGATATTACTGTACAATCAAAACCAACATCAATCAAAAAGTAACGTCAATCAAAATCAAGGTTGCCTCACAGGTGATCATATTACTTTTTAGAACCAACGCGAAATACAAAAGACATTCTCCCTGTAGGAATCACTACGATTGTGTAGGGAGAGTCTACACATAGAAAAGACGTAAAACTCACAATGAAACCCCGTGACAGACATGAATTGCCGCAGGCGGGATTCGAACCCACGTTGATAATAATAGCTTTCCCAGAGTAATTTATATTTAAAATAATTTCCCACATGACGCTTTACTCACTGAGCTATCGCCGCGGCTTAATTATTAAATTGATCGAGTAAAACATTCTTTAATTTAATTACCTGTAACATTGAGAAAGAGACTCAACATTTTTTCCGTTTTCTTATTGCTGGCGAGGATTGTATAATATCCTAGATCATTAATTGCGATGTTCTTTATTTTTAAAGATGCCTCATTAGTAGAACGACTGAATTTCGCCACATATTTTGTAGAATTACCCAGTGGAATAGTTTCGTTCATGTGGTTCAACCTAAAACAAGTAGCGTAATAAGAAGAAACCGTGTTCTTTTTACTAATTGTTTTGAATTTATTGTTATTAATTTCCTACCATGTCACCATTGGTATTGGATGACCTTGCACGTCGATACTCCATTGGACGTACTCTTCTCCAGCAGACGCCACGATGGAATATATATTGGAAGTCTCTGATATGTTCAAAAAATATTCATTCTCATCTAAAAACCAATAATAAAATTTTAAAATTATAACGAGAAATTGAATAAAGAAAACAAAGAGAGAGTAGAAGGTGATGTGAAAAGGTAATGTACATTCATTAAAGTAAGAAAAAAAACTCTGGATGACTTTTCAGTTTAGGAGAGGTTTTAGAACTATTCATAAAGTAGGTATGACCAATGTGACGTTACTTGACTGAAATTAGAAGTGAAAAATCATCGAGTGAAAAAGTATGACGCATTATTTTTTGTAACTACTAATTAGGGATGATATTAAGCTTGTTTCTTTCTCTTTAGTTTATACTCCATTGGTAGATGAAGGTGACTATTATATGCCAAATGTAAATTCGTTGCAGTAAATGTACCTACCATAGATCTTGACTTCCAAATCAGCGTAAGAACTGTGATCTTGTGCATCGGTGATATTGCATATATACTTTCCTTTATCTTCCATTGTGGTGTTGTAAATAAGTAAAGTTTGAAAAATGTTGCCAGAGAGTGTTTTGTTTTGGTCGGTAGTATTCATTCGGAAACGCTATAATAAATACACATACGAAATATAATAAACTCAAATTGTATACAGAATTAATGCATATGTAGATTCAATAGAATTGTTTTAAGTTTTGAAACTTTTTTTAAGATGAACATTGAATTCGGCAATCTTCGAAAATTGTATCTTATGGCGACATCCAAAAGAAAATATGTTTAAATGTATAGGGAAGATTTATAATTACTTACGTCGATTGGTCCGCTTGGTGTTGTCCAATGGAAACTGATACTGTTGGTGGTTTTTATTTCACAATCCAGGAACAAGGTGTCTCCAACGACTGTGTGACCACCACTTCGATCTCTCAAACTCGGCTTAGCCAGATGGCTAATTGGTACTGCCGAAAAATGAAAGATATGTCAAAAATGCTTTCAGTCATTCTTTTTACCAATTTGATCCGATGTGAATTAACAACAGCAAGAGTGCATGAGAGAGAAAAACTTACAAGGAAAATATGTTTTTAGTTTTAGTATGAATATTATCTTGATATATTAAGGATAACCATAAACAACAATTTAAATCTAAAACAACAATCAAACTATCACAGAATAGGCAGAGAGAAACTGAATCTTGCAAATATGGGCTTTAATATGTTTTTAATTGTATAATCCTTCCTTGTAAGAATTTAAAGATATACAGGCTGATAAAAAACGCCGCGAGCCATAACTCCGTTATTTGTAGCCTGATGTTAAAAAACAAAAAACCAGATGAAATGGCTCTAAAGGAACTATAAGTGAGACTACTGCAGTATTTTTCAACTTTTCTTTTTCTGAAACGCGGTAGTCAACTTTTTTTATTTTTCAAATGACAATATAAGATTTTTTTTTTTGTAAATTATCATGCAAATTTGTTTTCTGAATCCTACGATGTATAACAAATTGACTTTTGTGAAACATTGATTGCAGAAAAAGTGCCAAAATGTTTGTCATTATGCGATAATGCCAATCGGTGTCCTACCGGCTAACTGATACCAAACGTAGTTTGACTAATCTAATCACGTATGCCGTGGAAAACAAAAAATAATACAATAAAGCAAATAAATGTCATTTCAGCGTCCGCGTCCCAGTCTTTTTTCGCATTCTACTTTATGGCATTTCTGCATTAGGTTATTTTTTGTGAAATAAGCTTAGCAGAAAAAAATCAATGTTTCACAAAAGTCAATTTCTTATACATCGTTGGATTCAGAAAACAAATTTCCATTGTAATTTACAAAAAAAATCCTATATTGCCAATTGAAAACAAAAAGTTGACTATCAAGTTTCAGAAAAAAAAATTGAAAAATACTACAGTAGTCTCCCTTATAGTTCATTTAGAGCCATTTCATCTGTTTTTGTTTTGTTTTTAACATCAGGCTTCACATAACGGAGTTATGACTCGCGGCGTTTTTTATCAGACAGTATGTAGATTAAAATATAAAAAGAAATGTGTTAACACAGTGAAAACAAAAGCATAACCAACACCAACAACTGGCCAAGTAAAAAAACAGGAACGAAAGAACTAGAAGAGTTTAGTGGGTTAGCAATCACTTAAAATTTTCTACAATAAGTACTTTTTGCTTGTTTCTATTAATGTATACAATGTGTACCAGATGACACAGGATTATGGTATACCTCCCCATTTTTTCATTTGTTTATTGAGAGTTTTCAAAAGTTCAGCAACTTATATTCACAACAAATGTTAATATTTACATACAGTTTTTAAATACAGACTAAGTCCTGACTGGACGCGCGACAAAAAAATTGATAAAAGTCTCTAGGCTCTGGAGTATCTTTCTTAAGTCAATATTTTGATGCCACGGGTTCAAATGAAAATCAATTGTTGATTTATTTTTTGTTTATTGAGCTGAATACCACTTAATTTGAACAAACTACAACAGTTTGCGACAACAGTAACGGTTCTTCAGTGTTGGTTATCATTGTCCAACTTTTGTCCCTTTACTGAAAGTATACTACATGGAATCAACAACTGTCCTCAAAAGTTGGCGCATATAATGCAGATTCCAAAATGGTAATAAAAGTAGTAGCTTTTAGTGCTAAAATAGAGATTTTCACATTTTACCAATTTCCCTATGTGTGAAACTCGATGTAAACTGTTTATTTTTTTCGGTTTTCTGTATGAAAACTGTGTGAGAATATTAAAAATACAACAATTAATTATGTCATGTAAAAAAATGTTTAAGTTTTGAATATTACTATGTTATTATAACCTTTTTCTCAATAAATAAAAAAGGAAGTATGCCATGATTCTGTGTCACCCGGTATAAAATGATTTCCAATAAAATAAAAAATCATAAAACTCACGAAACTACAGAAAATGACATATTACAAATTTAATCTCTTTTTAAGTGAACTTGGGCTAATAAGTATAGTTAACTATTAAAACGTTTTCATTCTACACCCATTCTCTACGCACGAAAAATGTCACTGAATTAATTATGGGCCATGTGGACTGCACTCCGTCAATTTGTTACAAGCCAGCTTCTAGGATGTATTTTCCTATTTGCTTTTTAAAAATAACCGTTCTAACTACACCGTTCTTCCGAGATGCAAAATGGTGAAAACCTATAATTCTAACCCACTAAAAAAGAAACAGTGCGTGAAGTGGCCATCACCAAAAGCAGTCCTCTACTTACAGGTGTTGATTGCTAAATGTATGTATTTATCGGTCGTTTCGGAATTTCTAGAGAATGTACACACATAAGTCTGCTCTTGACTTAAGTCTGATACGAATAAAGTGTATCCAGTTTTTGGGTCGTAATTAGTGTCATCTTCCTGTAAAAGAAGGATAGGTTACAAACGAAAACGATTACCAGCATGTTATTTGAGGTGGGAGTATCAGTAGGTTCCATTTTTCCTTCGTTAAGTACGAATATGTTTTACCTGAATTGTTTTATTTGCTGGTTGTAAGGTTGTTCACAACATGGTTTATAACTTGGTTAGTGAAATTATCACATATTTATGTAATTGTATGAGTGATATGAGTATTTAATGGTCTAAGATTTTATCCGGAGTCTGATGTGGTTCAGTGACTGGAACCGATGGATAAGTCTTGGAACTAAATTATTGAAGAGAAAATTAAGCCTTGTTCTTTTTGCATAAAACTAGAAATTTAAAACTCTACAGTTGGCATTCGTTTTGGTTTGTAACCTTTTATTGGTTAGATAAAAAATGAAACGTACTTTCTACCGTCATAAGGATGAGCACGGTCTGATTGACGCCGTTTTTGCTGAACAAACATTCAAACATGTACTCTTTCTCCTTTTCCTTCGTGTCGTTGGTGAAGAATCCGTACAGGCGTTCATAGCGGTACAGGGTTTCTAGATCATTAAAGGTGTCCAAGTGCACCTTCGAAACGTCATACTTCGTTTAACTTCGTGTTGCAAATGAGATGGTAGCAAGGTTATGTTTTACTTTGCGAGGTACTTACCGGTTCGCCTGTTATTAGGTACAAGGTAACGTGTACGTCTGGAGAAGTTGGTCTGCAAGGGATAATGGCTTCCTGGAATTGAGTAACAACGACCGTCTCTAATTCTCCATCAAGAATGGAAAAGTGATCATTGTCTGGAATGAAGAAAATGAAGGTAATTTTTGTTCTCTCGTTTTTATCGTTGAGCTCACCATTAACATATAAATAAACACTAGTACTCTCATAGTCATTTTTGTCTACATCTTCGTGATGGCAATAGTAAAAACCAACAAAGGGATAAGTCATGTTAATTATGTGTAATCTGCTTCCATATTGGTAATTAGGAGAAATGGGATTTTCTGACTTGGTAAAAATGGTAGTCCAGGTCTTTTTATTCCCCTGAAAACAAAAACAGGCTTAAATAGACTGAAAAGTAGCATATACAACATCGACTATACACGGTGTCAATTTGAAAACGAACAGCATTTAATATTGCCTAAACTGATTAAAATTGATTAAAACTGACAGTATTAAAATTTGGCGAAACACGTCAATTGACATATCAAGGGGGACAACTTTTGAGGCATTTGTTGTCGTATTACTTTCAACCCCC